TCCGGTGCAAACTAGGAGAGAAGTCGGTTTTGCCAGTCAGGTAAAGTCCAAGCATCAAGTGGTACCCCCAAGATAGGGTCTGTTGCGTTTCGCTGCCAACATAATATCAAGGGTGCAATACAATTCTGTATTATTTTGATTTTAACCATTTTCTCTTTCTTTGGAGAAACATTGTATGCAAAAAGCTTTTGTTTTATCTTCAGTATTATACTATTGCGTGAGCATCATGCATAGTTCTGGCATAATTTTCATAATTATTTTTCCGCTCACTCAGATTTTGTATAATTTAGAATACGCGCAGTTTCGTTGCAAAGTTTTGAACAGTTTGTTATCATTTTTAAAGTCAGCAAGAGTATGGACAATGGAGAATTGTTATCTGGTTGTTGTTTAAATTTGAAATTAGAAGAACCCTTCTTCTCCCAAACCAGAGAAGAACTACTCACACCACCATTATGTTATTTCCATGGTCAAGATGCACTCGCAGACCATACAGTAGCTCAACAAAATGATTGCTCAAGAAATTGCTCAGCCATTGTAAAATTCCTGTTATACAACCTCTTTAAAAAATCAATTTTTGTTTCTTTCAACAGCTCCCATCACAACCACCTCATTCAAGACTGACCCAAGTTGCACCTCACACACCACCCCGGAGGGAAAGGGACACTGATGACCACCCCCCGTCCTCTGGTGCTCTGACTCCTCAGCAAGTGGGTCAACTTTCTCGCATGCTGGGTCTATTCTCTGGACCTGGTCAGCCACAGTTCAGTGCTGAACAACTCTATGCTTATCTAAAAGGAGTACAAGACAAGTAAGAATACTTGAATTATCCTTTTAAGCACCATTGGTTGTTCAGGGCAATTCAAAAGTTTGTGAAAGTTCACATCAGGGGGATACTCAAAAATTTTTTATACATGCTCCTCCCCGGGGTCTAACTCCTTACCCTTTTATATACCTTTTTGGGCAGAAAAGTTAGGACCCCTTTTGTATGCCTACAATGGTATTGACAATATATTACCCCTTTCACATACCTAGTTTAGAACTCTGAGGCCCTTGTAACTGCTGCATATGCACCATCCTTCAAATATGAATAAATCACAAAACCAGAACGATTTCTCAACTTTTCCACAGCTATAGAATGCATGTTAGCCCTTTTTATCCTTTTTATGACCAAAATGACAGATTTCCCCACCCTTTTATAAACTTCAACCAGTGAAATCTCTACCCTTTCATTTACCTGACGCCCTAAAAAGGTATCCCTTTGTGCAGGGCCTCCCCATATAGGTCATCATAGGGAGTACCCCCACCCTGGGGTTTTATACATGAAGTTTTATCACATGCCATCAAATCTTGAAATAGCATCATAAAACTGCCAAGTGGGGGGGGGGGGGGG